ATATATATATATATATATATATATATATATATATATATATATATGTATATATGAAAAATATATGAAAACGCATGTGGGTACTCAAATGAAAGCTCTTGATGAGTGTAACATCAGGATGAGCTTATTATTTTTAAAAACGTCAATATTTAAGAAAGTACAGTTCAATTTAACAAAAATCATTATTTAATAAAGCAAAATTTCATTTATTTATATTTAATAAGTCACGGCAGTCACATAGTGACTGCAAGGTTGCTAGCATATGATTTAAATTCAAACATATATGGTTCATATGTAATTTTATGTGATCAATATATCATATATCATATATGATAACACTTTATCACATATGACATTTTTTTTCCACCCGGGATTGCATTAACGTTTAGTGTGCGCATAAAATTCAATATACCTACAACACATAACATACAATATACATTATATATATATATATATATATATATATATATATATATATATAAAACACAGCATTACAACAATAAAAATTGCGCGCGCAATCATTGCCAACCCTGACCAATGGGCGTTAAGTAGAGCCGTGACGTCACCGATCAGTAGTATAAAACCAGCACGTTGCGACAGGCAGCTCAGAGACTCGCTCACGTTCTCTGTTAACCTGTGCGATGAGTGTCGAGGCGACTGAAGAAGAAGTCGACGTCGATATTCGCCGCGTTTATTTAGTATCTCTCACCGCTAACAACATTTGATTTTATAAATTAGTTAATTAATTAATTAAATAATAAATCAAACAAAATTACAAGACAAATTGATTAATTAATCGATCAATTAATTACACCAAGGATTATAAACTCTAGTCAGCATCGTCACCCAGGTGCTAGTGTTCGTGATATTAAAGGTGATTGACCAAGTGTATTTATTTATTATTAATTATTATTTATTGACGTGAGTGAGTGAATTTTTATTTAATTTAACATAAATTAAGATTAAGACTGGACAAAATTCTCACTGAGAATTTTAAATTAAACTAAAAAAATTCCTTCGAAGTTTTATTCAAAAAGTTTGGACCGCATTTACTTTAAAATGGTCGGAAGCAACGGTAAGCTGATCGCGATTCGGCTTGTTCGCAGCAAACTCCGAAAACGAGAGGACAACGCGAATGATCACCAGGAGCCGGCAGTCGTCCAGACCGCGACTTCTGATGCCTGCAATAACAATAATATTAACAACAATGTTAATAATGTTAACAACAACGGTAACTACAACAACAACAACAACATTAATCTTAATGGAGTGACGACGGGGCAAATGCTAAGCACCGACATCAGGAACAATGGAATCGTAAATCCAGCAGCGTCTATAACTGTTTCCGAAATAAATGGGATCGTTGATGGGACGATCGTTACTGAGGGCAATGATCAATTTGTCTGGCAGTTTCCCCCGCCTTATCCACCGCCACTCACTCCGCCGCCTCAGTACACCCTGTACAATGACCAGGTAATTTTTTTAATTACAATTCTCTTGGGTTCATTTTTTATACATTAAGCTTTAAGCTATGGAATTAGAAGAGGCTACTGTACTCAGTTGAAATTTGTCTGAGTTGGAGTAATTAGAAGGATAGGTCTTTGTTATTGTTGGGTGTCATTAAGAGAGTATTTGTTAATGGATATTTTTATGTTGTTAATTGTTGGGTTTTTCGGAGGTTATTTCACGGAATTTTTTTTTTGATGTCTCATCAAAGATTATTGGGGATTAGATTAGTTTCATCAAGATTAATTTTTATTGAGAATTTGAGAATCTATTAATTAAGATTTGAGTGGTTTTTTTTTATCAGTTTTGGATAAAATCATTGTTTGGACAATTAAATAAATTTTGTTTATTTTTAAATTGAAGAAATTGATTTCGGGTTTTATTTTGGAGTTAAAATTTTAATAATAATTTTAGAGTTAAAATTTTAATAATAATTTTTGTTTATTTTAAAATTAAAGAAATTAATTTCGGGTTTTATTTTGGAGTTAAAATTTTAATAGTAATTTTGATTTGAAAATTTTTTATTATTTATGATTTAATTTTGAATTAAAAATTTCATTAATAGTGATAATAATTTTACATATAATTTCGATCGAATACAAATAAGATAAAAATTAAAGTTTATTTTAATTTCATTTAAAAAAATTTTTTTTTTCCATTCATAAATTTTACACTGTCTAAAAATTTTATAAAAAAAAATAAGCGACCATTAATAAAAATTAAAAAATTGAGGCAGGGATAAATTAATAATATTTTAATATTTCTCAAGATAATTCAACCCTGACAGACTAAGGAAGATCTTTCATCACTGAGCTACTCCATTAAAAAGTCATAACCTAGTCTAAAAATAGAACTCAACCCCAAAAGTTATTTTAATCTTGTCAATCTGTTTTATTTGGTCTGAATTTGAATACAAAGTTAAATAATACAAAAAAAAATATATACTTTCTTTTTTTTATCACAATAAGTTCTCTAAGGGCAAACTTTTTCCGATCAATACTTTTAAACAAATATAATTTCCCCTTAGAGCATAAAAACTCGCACGGTAACTAGTGTACAGTTTAGTATACAGTAGTCAAGGAAACTCTTGAGTTCTTAGTTCTCATGCTTCTATTCGTTCTCCCCTCGTACTTACTTGGTAAAAATAAATACATATCCAATCCAGTTTACTTTTATGTCCTCTGATATCGAAGATCTTTCTTTATAGATTTTAGATTTGATAAAAACATTGAATTACTATTTCTTAGGTATACATGCAACTTTATTATTATTTTTTATTCCATATATATATATGTATATAAAATTACGAGAGCAAAATTATCAATAATCATAATTATTAATAAAAAAAAAAATGAGACTAATTTTGAATATTTTATAAATTATTATTATTATTATTCAATTAAATAATAAAAAAAATAATAATCCCAAAAAAATATTGCCTAGAGACAAAATTAAAAAAAAAGAAAATAAAATTTTTTTATTCTTGCAAATAAATTTTAAATTTTAATCTAATCAAAATAAATAAAAATAAAATAGATTGTCGCTTAATATTAAATTTTTTTATTAAATACTAGTTTTAAATATTCTAAACTCAAAAAAAAAATCAATCATAATAATTTTGAATGAAAAAAAAAACAAACTATAAGATAGTTTGTATTGTTGTAAACGATAATATTACCGAACTATAGATAAGAGCGCAACTTGAGTCTCCCTTACATTAAAAAAATCAATAAAAGTCTCTCGCCATCTTTAATGTATTTCCATTGATAATAGTTATAAAAAAAAAAAAAAACTAAAAATGAATTACAGTATTATAATAGTTAAACAATCCTTGTACTCTTATAATACCCGTAGTATTTATAATTTAATACCTTGGTACGACCAGAAATATAACTGAGTAAAATAAGTGTTTTGAAAGTTGAGTTGGAGGCAAAAATTGTACGAGGTCAGGCGTTAATCTCATCTCATCTGGTTCCCGATTCTCTGTATAGCTCTCTGTCTGTCGAGCAAGGAAGAGGGAAAAAATGAAAATAAAAATAAAAGGAAGAAGAAAAAAAAGGAGTGTGTTGTGAAGTGGATGGTAGATGGGTGGGGTAATAAAGCAAAAAGAAAGAGAAAAAAATGAGAATGAGCACGGTAAAAGGAATAAAACGAACAGCTGTTATGTCCGGGGTCTTAGTCCAAGTCTAGTCTTTACTTCTTCTTCTTTACTTACATTATATTATCCGTAGTCGCATTTACTTTACCTTACTTTGGTAGTATTATTATATATTGTCGGCTGTACTTTGTATTGCGAAGGCTCTTTCTTTGTATTGTGTACCATTATATGTACATTTCGTTAGTTGGCAACCTGAGCAACTGAGTCTGGCCCAGGTAGCTTAGCTGCCTCTAGGTTGTAGGTAGTAGGTTTAGTTCTAGGTTCTAGACTCTAGGTAATATAAATTTACTTTTTAGTATACTGTATATTGAGCTAAATTTTATTTCATATTTTTTTCTATACAATATTGTACTTGTAAATTGACAGTCGGTCTTACGAAAAGACTTGTATTGTAGGTGTACCGACTTTTTCTTCCCATGTTTAAATTTATTAGTAAAGGTGTTTAGAATTTTATTTATGGCATTGGCTAGTGGCTATTTTTCTTATTAATTATTTTAAAAAAAATATTTTTGAATTTAGAATTTTGATAAAAAAAAAAATTAGATGAATTTAAAAAAAAAGTTTAAAAAAATTTTTTGGTAATTATTTGCAAGGGTCAAACCTATTTTTGGCCATATTTAGGTGAAAAATTAACATTTTTTTTTAATCTGCTAGTTTTTACAGCAAATTTATGATAAAAAAATAAAAATATTGATAGCTTCTTTGCCTTGAAAAGTTGAAAAAAATTTTGGCTCTCATATTTTTGATAAAATTTTTATTTTATCTTTTTTTGACATTTTTGATATATTTTTTTTTTGAAAAAAAAAAAATTTATAAATTTTTTTAAAAATTTGTTAAAATTGTAGTCAACTTTTTTTTTTTAATTGTTAATTTTTTTATACAAAAAAATAAAAATTAAAATTGTAGAGTCTACTTGTAAATAATTACCAATTTTTTCTTCCAAAATTAAATATAAATTTTTTATAAAAATTAAAATAATAATAATAATATTTTTCCTGACACTTGTGTACTCCGAAATAAAATATTCCAATTACACCCAATCGTCCTAAATAGCTTTTTTATAAATTACAGTATATATAGATAGATAGATAGATAGATAACTAATTTAATCTAGTAAGTGGCGCCTTTTATTCTATATTCTCAATTCTCGATAGTGTAAATGTGTTTTTACAACTACTAGCTTAGTTACAATACTATTACTACAATACAAACTGATCGCACGCTTTCGTCAGATTAGCACCGTATTTTATATACTAAACTATACCTCCGGTGGTATCGGCAACACTGCCGATTACGATTGTTTAGAATTTTTTTAGTCTCATAGTTTCATAGACTTTGTTACACACTTCTATGCATATATTTATGTATATAAATGGGTTGAATATACGTTTGTGAAGGTACTGACTAGATACAAAGAGGTCGGAAATACGTTTAGATGTATTTATATATATATATATATATATACATATATATGGATACGCGTAACACGCATTTGTATTACACGAGGTCTAGTCCTTGATTAATCGATACTATGCATATTATATCTTAGAAATAATTTATGCAATATATTTTAATAATAATAATAATAATAATAATAATAATAATAAGATTAATTTTATTTAAGAAATAAAAATTATTACTGACTTGATTTGAACATAATAAAAAATATTGTGTTAAATGTGGTCCACAAAAATTAGTGTTAAAATTCAATACAATTTGTGTTAAAATAACACTAATTTTGTATAGACCGTTTTTAACACAATATTTTTTACTGTGAAAGAAAAATTTTTAAATAAAAAAAATTATTTTTAAAAATTTAATTGTCTTGAATTAAAGTAAAAAATTCTTAAATCAAATAAAATTGATTTAAATTAAGAAAATTTGATCAATGAAGCTTTTAAAAATTATTTTCTTGGTTCAATAATTTTTTTCTTGAAGTTAATTTATTTTTAGAGTCTAATAATTCTTAGTATCTCATCGATTAAAAATATTAATACTATTTTTATTATTATTATTAAATTCTAATTGGATAATAAATAATTGAAGAGAGTAAATAAGGAAGTTATTTATAGAAATTCAGTAAAACGAAAACGTGAAAAGCGTCTGACAATTCGAGAAGTTAGCGTTCAGTTGCCAAGTTAAATTTTGTCCGTCTAAAATGAGCAATCGTAATAATAACAATAATAATCATAATAGTCATAACAATAAAGTTTTGTTTGAGAAATCAACGACGGGCTGTCTGGTACGGTATTATAGCGGGAGGTTTATTTATTTACAAACGATCAAAAGAATCAAAAAAAAGAACTTATGATTCAGATTTCGACATACAATATAATTTATAATCACAATCAAAGCGAATTTATTTAATAAATACTACTCGGGTTTATTTATATTTAATTTCTTATATAAAGTAGCTTAGATTTCAGACCACCTACTTAATTCTTTATTATTATTTTATTTTTTATTAAAATGCCTTTATGAAAATTCTCAATTATTTTTTATTATTCACAAAATAATTTAATAATTAATAAATTGGAATTTTTATGAATTATAATTTATTTTTAAATAATTAATAAAATAAATTTTATTTTCTAATTACAGAATACTCTAGTACATGGTTTGGAAGGCGACCGTTCAGGATTTGCCAAAGGAATTCGTAAAAATTTGGGGCGCTGGCGACGTTTGGTTAAGCGGAAGTCAGACATGGATACATGTGCCATTCCACCAGAGCTTAAGGACCAGTTGAAGACCATCTACGTTTACTAAATTATCAAAAAAAAAAAAAATAAAATAAAAACAAATAATTTAATTAGCGACTAGTGAATAATCAAACTTAGCCTACAATTCAATAAAATTAGTTAATTAATTAGTTAAATAAGTGTAGCGTAGGATGTGAAAGCCTTCCACTCAGTAATAATGCTTTCCTGTATGTTCCGAACTAGTAACTAGCGACTAGCTCCATCTGGCGTCGCGTTCCGAACTACGAAATACAACCGCAGGCGGAACAACGTTTGAGGTTACAAGTTCGAGCTACTGACGAGTACATGTGTGTACATATATCAAGAAATAACAATTATTATTTTGATTATTATTACTGTTATAATAATTAACATCGTCTAGTTGAATTTAATGTATAATTTGACTAGACTCGGCCAGCCGCAAGCTAGTTATGTGATCGAGTGTGAAAATATATATGACAAAGAGAGAATGAAGAGTTCAATGGTCTCGTGAGACGTCTAAAGGAAGAGAAAATAATAAAAATAAAAACAAAAATAAATAGATGGGTGAGGATGAAGACGTGAATGCTGAACTCGGTTCTTCTGATGGTACTCTCGTGACCGCGAGAATCTTCAGGGCACGCCCTTTCTAATTGTCTAAATGCCTTATTTTTTCATTTTTATACTGATGAGTTTTCTCCGATTTTGACATATCATGATTTTTAAATTTATCAAAAATAAATTCAGGGACTTTTAGGAGAATTTTAGATAATTATTGTTCACTTGAATTTTTTTAGATTTAATAAAATTTTGGTTGATTAGAAAAAATTTGGGTAATTATTTACAAGTGGGGTCAATCCAAAAAATTAACATTTTTTTTTGCGGTGCATTAATGATAAAAAATGTGAAAGAAAAAAATAAAGATTTTGATAGCTTTTTTGTCTTCAAAAGGTGGAAAAAATTTTGGCTCTCATGTTTTTAGATAAAATTTCTATTTTATCTTTTTTTTTTTTAAAAAAGAACATAAAAACACGAATTAAAAAAAAAAAGTTGAATATTACAATTTTCTAAAAAATTTTTTAATTTGTTAAAATTGTGATTTTTTTTTAATTGTTCAGTTTTTTTTATGTATTTTTCAAAAAAAAAAAAAATATATCAATAAAATCAAATCAAAATAATTAAAATTAAAATCCACTTGTAAATATTTACCAAATTTTATTTATTTTGGTAGTAAAATTTATTGAAATAAAATTACAAAAAAAAAGGATTTTACTTAAAAGTAAAAAAATCTTGTAAATTTTATTTTTTTTTCTAAATAATTAAAATGAATAATTTTAAAAAATTGAGTGCCTTTTCAGCCGCTATCAGTCGCACACTGTTTAATTGAGAACTATAAAGTCTTGAATAAAATAATAATATTGTAAAAAAGTGGAAAAGAACTCGATGAGACTGAAAGATGTAAAGAGTACGACAATATGAGCGATCTTGTAGCTTTTGTGTACATTTTTACATTGAAAAAAAACTATTATTAATTAAAGATTAAAGAAAAATTGAGTACATAGGTATATATTGAAATAAAATATAAAATGTAATTATAAACCGCTGAAATGATTAGTATTATTTGTATGCTTACGGGACTGTCTAGCCTTGATGGTTATCATTTGTGATTATGATTATAAAACCGATAATTGTAACTCAAGAAGAAGTATGAGCATGACTAAATTAAATCTAAACAATTGTTAATTATTCAGATTAGCATTAATTGACATGGAGACAGTCCTGAAAAAGTTTTTACTGTAAATAGATGTATAAAGCAATAATTATAAGTACCAATACCTACCACTTGTATTCTTACGACGTAAATATCTTTTTAAAAATGTACATGTGGTTCTGTCGGATGTATGGAGTGGAGACCTTATCCATTTTCGAGATAAATTATCTATTAATGCGTCTATTTTAATATTAAGTATTTAAATAAATTTTTTTATATTATATTGGTCTTTTTTTGGAACTTTCAGCCTTAATTTTTTTTTTTAATATTTTTAAGTTAATTTTTAAATTTTAGTATTTTTTTTATGAAAAATAATTAATGCATTTTTTTTTGTGTTGGTTAGAAAAAATTTTTGTAAATAAATTTAAAAAATTGATGCAAAGAGCTTAAAAAAATCTAAGCATTTTTTACATATTTTTTTATTTTAAAGATTTGAAATTGTTACAAAAAAATTTTATTTGATTAAGAGCTTCATTTTTTTTAAATAATTAAATTAAAAATTAATAATTGATTAATTAAAAATTAAAATTCAAAAAATTTTTATAAAAATTAAAATTTAAAAATTTTTTATAGAAATTAATTAAAAATTAAAATTTAAAAAATTGTTATGAAAATTGGAGATATTTAAAAAAAAATCAATAAACTTTTAAATATATGAAAAAAAAATATAATTAAACTCAAAATTTAATTAAAAATAAATTTAATTTTATAATTATACTCAGCAATAAATATATAAAAAATTTAGACGCATTAGTATAAAATTCTCAGGTTAATTTTCAAGAATATCATGGCTCATATTGAGCTTCTTGTTTATGTATTATTATTATTATTATTATTGTAATTATTATTATTATTTTAGTGTAAGTAATAATAGTAATAAGTAATTTAATGCCGATCTTCATATCACAGTATAAAATATCAAATTGTACATTCGAATTAAATAATTAATAAAAAAAAAAAAAGTAAAAAAGTGGATACTGGTCTCGTGTGATTAAATAAAATTATTTTTGAAAAAATGATAAATTTATTTTTTTAATGTCTTTAAAAAATTAGTTATAAATTGCTCTAGACAATTGATACATGAATGACTGTATGAGTGAAAATATTCTTTGATTTTATTTAAGCGTATAATTTTATTAATAAGATTATAAAATAAAGAAAGTAATAATGTGCCTATGCAACATATCTAGCATTACAATTATTATTTTATTTAATTAAATTAATTAATAAAAAATTGCTACTACTATTACAATCATCAATTATTATTATTACTGAATAGAATGAGGCTGCGTAGATAATACCTAGTCATTTGTTAATATTGTCAGAGTGAAATGTAATTAATGATTATAATTAAATACAAATTTTAAATAAATTATGTTTTTCAATTTATCATTTTAATTATTATATTTTTAAAAATAAATTTTTATGTATAACCGCAGCTTAGATTTTAATTCTTTCAATAAATAAATATTTTTTAAATTAGTTTTTTTTTTAACCTTTTTTGTAATTTAGATTAATTATATAATTATTTTTTTTTATTTAAACACAAATTATAGTTTAAACTACAGAAATTTATAAAAAATTTATTTAATTCCAAAAGAATTATTTGTTGTTCAATTTTAATGCTTGGATTTTTTAAAATAATCTTTTAAAAAATAATATCAAAAATTAATTTCAATATAATAATAATATATTGAGTAAAAAAACCTTATTAATTTTATTAAAAAAATAACAAAAACAGTAATTGAGTGTATAAATATTAATTTAAATTAAGTATTAAATTAATTAATTTTGGCAATTAATATTTAAATATTAATCATTAATAATAGTTACTTTATATTATAAGGTATTATATTCAAATAAAATAAAAAAAAATTGTGTCGAGTTCTATGAAATTAATCATCAGTCGTCACATTATCGCTTGTCGTAAAAGTCCCTCGCAATAGTGGACTTCCCCTCGCCATCTGTACTCAAAAGTATCAACTCCTTTCTGTGAGCAGTTACCAACCTCACCAATTGACTTTGCAGTACTTAACCTCAGAATTACAACAACAATTCAAAATTGTCTGAGGTATTAATTAAGCACTAGCAGTGTTCAGTGTGATAATTTGTAAAAAATGATTAAATTATTGAGTAACTCAGTGGTAATAATCAAAAATTTTCATAATAAAGCATTTGTCAGACAAATGAGTAAATTTAGCGGGTTCGAAGAGAAAGTTTATCAATATTTGCAACCCATAGATTTAGCCAAGCCGCCATATTCCCATGCTTGTCAAATTGGCGACCCTGTTTTGCGACTACAAGCTAAACCTGTAGAATTAGAGATTATTAAAACCGCGGAATTTAAAAAAGTAAGTACTTGAGTGACTTATATCACTTTGTATATGATACTGAAATTAAAAAGCATCTGTTAATTTTTTTTAACAACTATATTATTGTAAAAAAATTTTAATAAAAAAATTCGACATCTAGAAATAAAAAAAAAAAAAAATTCATGTGCAAATTTTTAAAGAATTTTTTTCTTTCGTTTATAAGAAAATAAATAAATTCATAATTTAGCATATATTTAAAAATTTTAAGAATTTTTTTAATAAATAAATTATGGCAAAAAAAAATTGGCTTGCAAAAATTTTTTAAAAAATAAAAAATGCAAATTTTTAAAAATAATTTTTTTTTTAATAAAATTAAAAAATTTTAAACTGACTGCTTACTTTAATGTCATGAATTTGTAATAAAAATCAATACATTGATAAAAATTTAGCAAAAAAATTCCACATTTAAAAATTATAAGTACGAATTTTAAAAAATATTTTTTTTTTTATCATGATTGATTTCTTACAACCATTTCAAGAATTGTTACAAGTCTACTGATTTAATTATCATATTTTTTGATATTTATTATTAATAAATTGTTAAAATTTCAGTTTGTCGAGCATTTGATAAAAGTAATGCGAACTTACGACGCATTTGGAATGGCTGCGCCCCAAATAGGAGTATCTTCGCAGGTGTTCGTGATAGAGACGACCAAAAAACAGTACGACGAGATGATGATGTCAAAAAGCGCGGGTCAACCTATTGAAGAAATTCCGCTGAAGATTTTCATCAATCCTCAGATAAAAATTACGGACTTTAAGGTTACTAATTATCCGGAGTGCTGCGCTAGCGTTTGCGGAATGATGGCGAATGTACCGAGGTCCAAGGGGGTGCAAATTAACGCACTGGATATCGACGGGGAACCGTTCACTTGGGATGCTGTCGGCTGGCCTGCTAAGGTTGCGCAGCATGAATTTGATCATTTACAGGTTCCTTTTTTTTATTGTTTCTAAAATATAAATTTTAGAAAGATTGTATTTATTTTTTGATTTTTTTTTTTAGGGAAAATTGTATACCGACACGATGGATCGAAAAACACTCAGTTGCATGGTCTGGCAGACAGTTAATCGAAGAGGAGGAAAAATTTCTATTGATTATATACCTATTGCAAGAAGTAAATTAAGAAAGTTGTTTTTCACATAGTTTGTATTATTAATTTATGATTAAATGTTAATAAATTTATTATTAAATTTTTAAGAATATTTTTCAAACAGATATTACTGATTTTTACCAAAAAAAAAAAAAAATAAAACAATAATAATAAAATTTCTAAGATTTTTATTCTATACGATTGTTTGTCGAGAATTATTGTAGAACAACAAATTACGGAACGCATTATTAAAAAGAGACAGTGAAAATTTTTATTAGATAGTTGAATAAATACTGAAAATAATGTAGTTAATTTTTAATATTAAAATTTTTATTATTTATTGATAATGTACACAAAAAAATTTGTAATGATATTTAATTATTACTTTTGACATTATTAAGAGAATAAGAAAAATTTTGTTTCCAGGATAGTCATATGATAAAATCGGTTTTTTTTTTAGTGAAATTTAGTGTCATTGCAAAGGTCTTGACTTTAATTTGTATCTTTTCAAGGTTTCATTTCATTCTCACCGATAGTCAATTTATTATATGATAAGTATTTAGGTTAAATTCGAAAATACTCTATCTCTGGATACATAGTTAAGAAATTACCGTATATCTTAAGAACTATTGACATTTTTAAAGATATAAGCTCATCCCGATGTTACACTCATCGAGACCTTTCATTTGAGCACCCACATCAATTTTTCATATATTTTATATATTTATATATATATGAATATATGAAAAATATATCAAAATGCATGTGGGTACTCAAACAAAAGCTCTTGATGAGTGTAACATCGGGATAAACTTATTTCTTTAAAAACATCGATAGTTAAGCAAGTACAGTGCAATCTAACATAATTAAAAAACGATCTTGTATCTTGTGAACTATTGACATTTTTAAAGATATAAGCTCACCCCGACATTACACTAATCGAGACCTTTCATTTAAGCACCCACATCAATTTTTTATATATTTTATATATTTATATATATACATATGAATATATGAAAAATATATCAAAATGCATGTGGGCACTCAAAAAGAGCGACGCGACCTTTGACAAAGGGGCAAGTTATTGCTGAAAATTACGGCCCGATATTCACAAAGAGAAGCTTTAAGGAACGCCAAAGAAACCTTGAAGGACGGTACTGGTTTAAGTGTACCTGTGATCCTTGTAAGCAAGATTGGCTTAAGTTTGAGGAGTTGATTAATTGTTCTCCTAAAATTAGGTAAATCTAATTTGTGTTTACAAACAACTATGTATTTATTAAGCACGGTTGAACACCATGTTTATTAAAAAGTAACCGCTGCAATCTCATCTTGATGTTACACTCATCGAGACCTTTCATTTGAGTACTCACATCAATTTTTCATATATTTTACATATTTATATATGTGGATATATGAAAAATATATGAAAATGTATGTGGGTCTCAAAATGAAAGCTCTTGACGAGTGTAACATCAGGATGATCTTACATCTTTAAAAATATCAGTAATTAAAAAATGACGTATTTTGTGAAATATTGACATTTTTAAAGATATATGCTCACCCCGACATTACACTAATCAAGACCTTTCATTTGAGTACCCACATCAATTTTTCATATATTTATATATATTATATAAATATATGAAAAATATATCAAAATGCATGTGGGTACTCAAATGGAAGCTTTTGATGAGTGTATCATCAGGATGAGCTTATATCTTTAAAAACGTCAACAGGTAAGGAAGTACAGTGCAATTTAACATAATTAAGAAATAACCTCGTATCTTGTGAAATATTGACATTTTCAAAGATATAAGCTCATCTTGATGTTACACTCATCGAGACCTTTCATTTGAGTACCCACATCAATTTTTCATATATTTATGTATATTATATATATGTATATATGAAAAATATATCAATATGCATGTGGGTACTCAAATGAAAGCTCTTGATAAGTTTTACATCAGGATAAGTTTATATATTTAAAAACGTCAACAGGTAAGAAAGTATAGTGCAATTTAACAAAAGTCATGAAGCAAAATTTTAATTTTTTATAGTTCACAAATCACGGCAGTCACATAGTGACTGCAAGTTTGCTAGTTATTATTATTATTTTTTTTTTATTTGTACTTAATTTAATTCGGCTAACAAATTCTTACCACATAAAATAATCAAAACATAATTAATGGAATTAAAATCCACAATAATGATTTTTTTTCACTTTTTTTTATTATCATATCATTAATCAATAATTATTATTAATCAATCAATTATACAACATTAATCATCATTAAACATAAATATCCATAACATTTAAATCCACCAAAAATTAATTTACACACGTTATCATCAATCTTCAAAATCAACAAACTTAATATACCATATTTATAATTAATTATTTTACAAATACATATACACACATTGTTTAAAATTACGTATCAGTATTACCAGTGATAGCCATTTTCATTTTTGTTTTTACAATTATATAATTTCAATAAATAATTTAATTATATTTATAATATTATTATATAAAATTATAGATCCAGTTAAATTAGTCATTTATGATGTACAATGTACAATTACAAATATTACACTGCAGAGCAATATTTTTCTTCATTTACAGGTAAGTCTCTTATATCACGAATATATTTTTTTATTTTTTCGTGATTACAAATCTTAATTTATTTCAATTTAATAGTTACCAATGATTATCGAATATTATTAAATATTAAGTATTAAATATTAAAAAGCGTTTGGTTTTCCCAGAGTATTTTTTTTTTTATGTATAGTAGGATTTATTCTATAAATTATTAACTTTACTAAACTAAAAATATAAAATATCTTGTCAATAATAATAATAATAATAATAATAATAATAATAATTATTATTACAACAATATTAATAAACTTTTGATATTGTTTGATTAAATCGGAAGCGTTCAAAATTTTATTTATTCAGAACCAGCCGAAAAATTTTGCATAAAAAAATTTTTCTTCAATTATCGGCACTCTTTAAAATAATTTAATTTATCCAGAATAATTAAAAATTCAAATAATTTAATCGAGCACAAATATATATATTACCTTTTATAATTTATTTATAATTATAATATTTATGTTTATTTATATTTTAGTATACAAATAAGCACCTCATATTTATTCGCGAGCCCGCGCATATTAATTACACTCATTTATTATTCAAATATAATTCAATAATTTAATATTTGTTATGTTCATCATTATTAATCTTAGTAAATATAAATTCTAAGCATTTACGTAGAAACATCGATTGTTTTTCACAATTATTATGCATATACATATATTTACATCTCATTCATTTTATTAATTTTAATTAATACAATATATCATTTATTAGATGCATAATACTTAACATAAAAAATTAATCCTATGAAATATGATCGACTGATTGGTCCTCAGTAAAACAGTATTATTTAAAAATCTAATAAAAATAATTTTTTGCTTTTTCATTATTATCAATTGTTATGATACTGGAATCATTAGACACGTTCATTTTTTTTCTAACAATAAAAAATAAAATAAATGTTGCAACAATATTTTTTTAAGTTTGGACTGAAAAAAGAGAGAAGAAAAAAAAATTTTTTAAAAGATCGTTCAAGATCTTTAAAAATTAAAAAAAAATACTTTCAAGCGACTTTTGAATATTTAATATCCACAAACTCAAAATTTTTTTTACCAAGTTAAAATACTAGAAAATATAAGTCTATTATTTTGACTAATAAAAATCAGACAAAATAATTATTACTGCTGTATTTTAAGTCACAAATATTTATCCGGCATCTGTAAAAAGATTTAAAAATTTTGAGCGATTTCTACAAATAATTAGTGTAGATAATTTTCAACCTAAAAAATAATAGACTGACGTGAAAAATTATTAAAAGCAAAAAAAATTCAATTTTTGAATGTTTAAAAAATTTTTTTTACTCTTGAGGGACTCTAATAATTTTTTATCCATGTGATTTTTGGAGAGGGCTTTTAAAAAATGATACTTTTAAACAAGTCATTTTAAAAACTAAAATTAGGCAGATTTATTTTCGCCACTTTTATCCATACACGGTAAAGAAATTCACGGAGTGAATTATTTTTAATTAATTAAATTTTTTCGGAGTGAAATTCACTCCAAAAAGAATTTTGTTTACTGTTATTGCGTTATAAGATGTGTTCTAAAATTTTTTTGATTAATATAACTGTTCTTCTTAATTTTATAAAATAAATAAATTGAAAATTAAGTTAGACTACATCTAAAAATTTTGATGATTTTTTTCATTGAAAAAATGATTACAAATCATTAAAAAAAAATTTTCATTTGTAAAAAATTTTAAAAACTATTAGTGCAATTTTAAAAAAATATTTTTTAGTCCTAATTTAATAATTTAAAGTCAAAAATGTCGGCTAACTTTAATATCATACAAATAAATTAGTAATGTTAATAATTTATTATTTTTTACTTTTTACCTCAGGTTTTATTAAAAAAAACCCAAAAATAAATAATTTTTATGAAAATTTCGTTCAATTTTTAGAAAAATAAAATTAATATTTACAAACTTAAAATTGAGATAAATTATTTGTAAGTAATTGGACATAGAAAACTTGTTTCACCTAATTAAAATTAATTTTATATTTTATTTTTAAATAAAAATAAAAAATATAAAAATTAAAATTATCTCCGAAATTACTTCTTTTATTTCTTCACTCTAGTACTCCGAGTGGGAGTAAAAATTAACCCCTGATTTTTTACAGTGTAGCTTTAAGCTATTTTTTCATTTTTATAGTAGAATTTTCTATTATAATTGCTTAAATTATTAGTTAAAAAATAGTATGTTAATTTCAGTACCATCAATTTGCTCATAAAAGAAGAAAGATTACTCGTATTACGTTTCATAGTCATTGTTTATAACCTTAACCTTAATCTCAACAACTACCAGGTATTTTCCCGGATGATAAACCCCAGTTACAGTCCTTAATCCTCCAGATATATAGTACAATATAGTTTTAGGTATAGTATGAAGAAGTTTTATGGCCTGGTGATTCATAAATGAAAGTAAAGCTTGTTTGTGTGATGTGTAATTGTGTGATCAGTCGGTTAATTATTTATTTAAGTCACATTATTATTAATTATAACTATAATAATTATTTAAGTCTCTTTATATTATACATTTATTGAAGAATTAACGCGCGTGAGCGCGCTTTCTTGATGTCAGGAAACATGGACTTGAGAGTAAGGATTTAGTTGCCGTGTTGACTGGTTGAGGTGCTGGCTGCCATTGCTGCTGTTTCCATTGTTGTTATTGTTCCGACATCTCATTGATCCTGATTGCAAGTGCATCGGAATTCTCACAGTACCTAGTTTTGATTTAATAAGATTTAATAATTTATTTACTATTTACCTGATACTGATTCAAAAAAATTATTTGTTACACTAATAGAAAAATTTTGGAAAATCCAAAAGTGCACGTATCAATGCTCATTTTTTATTCATTTTTTAATTAAATTACATTGAATTAGACGGTAATTTTCAATATGCCATTACTCAGAATCATACTGAAGTGAATGAAAAGAAAATCGATTAGAAAAATAAAATTTTTTGGGCGTTATCGTGATTACATACATTATCCGTACATACAGACAACCCGACGTCCACCGAAATAATTTTTCAAAATGTTTTTTTTATATTATCTAAAAAAGAATAGGTTTTTTTAAAGTATCTACTGGCATAAAAAAGTGTCCTTGTTAATATTTGTCAACTCATTACTACGGCTGCCCAATTTTAAAACACAGTAACTGCAAAATTTTTATACCTGATTTTTTTTTTAGTATTGCTGCATTTTTCATAACTTTTAGACCTTAATTTCAAGTATTTTTTCTTAAAAATATTTATATTCAAGTATTTTCTATTCATAAATCAAATTTTTCAGCTAATCGACAGGTCACCAAAGACTTTTTAACTGATATTTTCACAAATAAGAGGTTACCAAAACCTCTCCGCATAAGAGTACAAAAATACAAAGAAGAACTGAGCTTTAAGTTCCCTAAAATCGCAACAAGAAGTCTAGGATACTATCCTCCATGGTACAAACAGAACATCAACTTTAACCTAACTATGTGTGACTTTAACAGAAGTACAACCACAGCTGAAATGTACCGAAACTATTTTCTAACCATCCAAGAACAATATAAAAATTTTGAAGAATACTATACAGACGGCTCTGTCATTGAGAACTGTGCGGGGTTTGCTGTCACTACTGAAAATAACATTCTCCACTTCTACCGCCTCTTTAACTGCTCAATTTAGACATGTGAAACAACTGCAATAATATACGCTCTAAAAACTATCAAAAATAAAACTGAAAACTTAAACAGTGTAATCTATACAGATTCCTTGTCGGCACTTCAAGCTATTAAAAATCCACTCAACAATCACCCACTGATACTCCAAATCCATAAGTTATTAGAGGAAATAACAGCTCTGGAAATGTCTGTCACTTTTGTATGGATTCCTGCACACCAAGGAATCAAGGGCAATGAACTAGCTGACAGTTATGCGAAAGGGGCAACCCCGCCTTAGAAATTGATATTACTATAGAAGTTACACATCGTGATGTAAAGAAATCAATTGCAACTAAATTTCAAGCATACTGGAACCTCCAATGGCAAAATTCAACCAGAACAAAGCTACACTATATCCGAGAAAATATATATGAAACAATACCAAAACTTAACAGACAAAACCAGGTTGTAATTACGAGACTCCGAATAGGTCACACAAACCTAACGCACATTTATCTGATCACCAAAACTGACCCAGAGTTATGTCCAAAATGTAAAGAGGTTCTGACTGTGCAACATCTCATGATAGACTGTAGAAGACTAATCCAGGAAAGATCCAATGAAGGAATATCAAATGACATGAAGACAATACTCAACAACCAAGATCAATGCCATCGTGCAATTTCATTTCTAAAATTGATCAAATTATTTGAAAAAATTTAAATGAAGAATTGTTATATAATTAATAGTTAATCATTGAATCTATTGTAATTTAATTTAATTAATGTAAATATTTTTAATATAGAAGTCGCTAATGACCTTGTTGTTAAAAGCCACTTAAAATAAAGCAATACAATAATAATAAATCAAATTTTTCATCAATTTGGCGGATAAATTTTTTTTTAATAATAAAAAGTAGAAAAAATTTTTAAATGTTAGTTACTGTGTTTTGAAATTAGGCAGCCGAATACTCAAAGTGCAAAAAAGATCGGATAAAAGCAATTTAAGCCGAGAAAATTGCTTGACCTTGAGAGAGTGAGAGTAAAGCACTACTCAAACGCTTCGCGTTGAGACGTGCAAAATTAATTTGATTCAAGAGAAAAAATTTAGACCAAGAAAATTTTTTTGAATATATTTTTTGTCTTAAAGAAGAAAAAATTTTGAACCGAATAAAATTCTAATTAAAAATCTTAGTCAAAAAAATTTTTTAGACCAACTAACTAACCCTGATTAGAAAAGATTCGAAATGACTCAAAGAGATTAAAAAAGATTTAACTTGACGAATATATAGATATACATTTTGCATGTGTTGAATTTTTTCAAATCTTTTTTTTTTAATAAGGGAAATATCCCTTTGAAAAAATTTATATTGATAGAAAGGTTAGATTGACTTAATACAAAAATTCTTTAACTAAAATTACTACAAAGAAAACAATAAATTTCTTAAAACAAGAGAAAAAATTCTTGAATGAAAAAAATTTATTTTTTATCTAAGAATTCTTATCTTAGCTCAAGATTTTTTTTCTCCTAAAGAAATTCATTATTTTTCTAATTATATTAGCATTTTTTTTCTCTTGAGTCAAACTAACCTTTCTATCTGTGGAGTTTCTTTGTTTCTACGCTAGCTTATTAATACTTTGTCATAACAAGTTATCCTATTTAATCCTAATTAAAATTTTTTTTCAGGCTTCCAAATACTTATGAATCATAAAAAAAGAATTATTTAAAATTTTTAATCCTACATCAAATTATTTTGTTTAATTAAGATTAAGCAAGGCAGCCATTTTAAGTAAGCATTCCACCATTTTGAGTTGAGAAAAAATTATGCGGTAAAAAAGGAATAATAAGATAAAATGAATAAAATAAAATAAAAATTTATTAAATAATTGATTTACAAAATGACAATTTATGAAATATTATAAAATAAAATGAAATAAAAAAATTATGAAATAAATATTAGGACTGTTTACTGATAGGATTAAGTTCCTTGAGATCAATATCATAATAACAATCATCCTCAATATTATCATCATCATAATCATCATTTTTTATATTGGAGAGATTGTGATTATCAAAGGGTACTAATAATGGATTTTTATTTAAGTGAGATGCGTTTGAGACACAACTGAGACTCAGACTGTGTACAGAAGACGTGCTACAGGACATACCATTTCTTGAAATCCTCGTATTACCGATTGGACTTCCTGTACAACTGTAACGTGTTATTACTTCCGATCTGCTCAACGCATGTTCGGGTTCCACGTGAACGCCTGGACACCACCGGAACACTACCGAAAATCCTCGCCGAAACCTGGGAATATTAAGTTATAGTTTGATAAATAAGAAACTTAGGGATAATGAGGTTGAAAAATTTTTAAATTAATTACTTCGAATTCATCCAACAGTAAATCATAGGATTGTACATGCTGTTGGACATTGCTAACCAGTAAATGGCTAAGTAAACTTCTTGGATGTATGGTTCGTTGGTTAACTCTGGTACTGAAGATACAACAATGAAGTAAACGTGAAATGGTAGCCAACAGACTGCAAATATTGATACAATTACGATCATCATTTTCACGACCTGGAAACAGAAAATTAAATGATTAGTATTAATATTATTAATACGTAAATTTTCAAGTAAATTAACGTTAATAAATAATGTTAAAAAAATGAATTAAAAATTTAACTAGCAGCCTTGCAGTCACTATGTGACTGCCGTGACTTGTGAACTATAAATAAATAAAATTTTAATTTATTAAATAATAACTTTTGGTAAGTTGCGCTTTACTTTCTTAAATATTTAAGTTTTTAAAAATATAAGCTCATCCCAGTGTTACACTCATCAAGAGCTTTCATTTGAGTACCCACATGAATTTTGATATATTTTTCATAAATGCATATATATAATATATATAACTATATGAAAAATTGTGTTTAAGTATACTTAAATGAAAGGTCTCTATGAGTGTAACATCGGAAAGAGCTTATATCTTTAAAAATGTCAATAGTTCACAAGAGAGAAGGTTGTTTCTTACTTATGTTAAATTGCACTGTACTTTCTTAACTATTGATGTTTTTAAAGATATAAGCTCATCTAGATGTTACACTCATCAAGAACTTTCATTTGAGTACCCACATGCATTTTGATATATTTTTCATATATATATATATATATAAATATATGAAAAATTGATGTGGGTACTCAAATGAAAGGTCATGATGAGTGTAATGTCGGGGTGAGCTTATATCTTTAAAAATGTCAATAGTTCACAAGAGAGAAGGTTGTTTCTTACTTATGTTAAATTGCACTGTACTTTCTTAACTATTGATGTTTTTAAAGATATAAGCTCATCTAGATGTTACACTCATCAAGAACTTTCATTTGAGTACCCACATGCATTTTGATATATTTTTCATATATATATATATATATAAATATATGAAAAATTGATGTGGGTACTCAAATGAAAGGTCATGATGAGTGTAATGTCGGGGTGAGCTTATATCTTTAAAAATGTCAATAGTTCATGAGGTACAAGGTCATTTCTTAATTATGTATCCAGAGATAGAGCATTTTTCAATGCAGCCTAAATACTTATCATCATAAATTAACTATTGGTGAGAATGAAATGAAAAGTTGAAAAGGCACAAATTCAAGTCAAGACCTTTGCAATAATACTAAATTTTTCTAAAAAAAACCGATTTTATCATATGACTATCTTGGACACAAAATTTTTCTTATTCTCTTAATAATATAGATTATATCAAACTAAAATTTAATTTTTTTAAAGTATAAAAAAAGTATAAAGATTGTAAAATTATTTTATGGTCTTCAAGTCCAATAAATTTTACTGATATAAACTTTAAAAAGCAATTTTTAAGATTGTTTTTATATAAAAATTATTAAATATATAAAAAAACGATTGCTTTGTTGTTATTATTATTTGTATTTGGCGATTCAGTTTATTGACGAAAACAATAAGATTGTCGTTGATAAAATAAATCAAGCACAAAGATGAATATCATAAAAAAAAAGTATGAATCTTTCTGGAGTAAAAAGAATGTGTAATAAAAAAATAAAAACGATTCAAAAGGAATAAAAAGTTATGAAAGGTTTTAAAAAAAACAATAAAAATGAGAAAGTTTTATTTTTATCCTTCGCTATCGGAAATAATTTGGTCCTTTGTCCTTGAACTGAAAGTTTCGGGCGTAAGTACGCGGAAGTTAACTAACGGAGGAATGAAAATTATTTTTGTAGAATATAGTCGCGGTGCGGGATAAGGAGTTTAATAATATAAGGGTGTGATGTCGGGTGGATTGGAGTAAGGAAGCGTATCGGATGAAAGGATAATGTGAAGAAAGGGAATATGAGAAAACGGTTTATCATGATCTGGATATAGTCCAACTTTCTTATTCCATTGATCACGAGAAACTGGTCTCTCTGGTCTAATAAATTACTCGCTGCGTAATCTGTATTACAACCGGATTTCATGACAAGGACATGCTAGATATTTTTACATACACACACACATACATCGAGACAATGTAAATTGTCCCGCGCTTTCCTGCCTAAAACTATATTAGCTATCCGAAATTATCGTTACCGACACTGGTTAACTAAAATTACGATTCCCGTGACTGAAAGAAAGTATTTTTTTTTTTTTTTCATAATTTACTTACATTAAAATTTAATTTTATTATTATTATTATTATTATTACTACGCATGAATTTAAAAAAAATATACCCTTAAAAAAAAGATTAAACTACTGCAAAAATTCAATTAAAAATTACTCTATTTTCTAAATTAAAAAAATAACAACGTCAGGAAATTAATTATAAATTATTTGAAGCCCCTAAGTATTAAACTTTATCTTCCGAAAAGTTAACGGCAAAAGTTCTGAATAAATTTTCGTTGGGTAAAATAGTCGTGACGCCAAAATTAATAACCGATAATTAAATCTCCCGAAATTGATTTTATTAATTTAAAACCACCAGCGCAAAACATTATTCATTATTCTCGTTATAACATATTAATTAATTTTATCATGAATGAGTAATTAACTCGACAATAAAAGACCAGGGGTCAGAGTATTCAATAATCAACAAAAGTTAAAAACATCGATGTATTTCGCAATATCTATTAAGATCAATCACAAAAAAAATTATTATTGGACATGTTGTTTTCAATAGAATGTTATTATTATTAATTTTATTTAATTAAATCGAGATTTTAGTTTGAGAAGATTAAATTTTTAATTTAATATATTTTGTATATTTAATAAATATCATATGCATAAAATATATAAAACAATTCATGTGGGTACTCAAATGAAAGGTCTCGATGAGTATAACATCGGAATGAGCTTATATCATTAAAAACATAAAACATCATTGGTTAGCAAAATTCAACAGTAATTCCTTAAATATTAACATTTTCGTAAATATAAGTCCATTTTGATATTGTACTCATCGAGACCTTTCATTTGAGTACC